TGGGCCATGTTTGTGGAGCAGCTGTCGAAGTGGTACACGCCCGGGGCAGACCTCACCGTGGACGAGCAGCTGGTGGAGTTCAGGGGACGCTGCCCCTTCAAGCAGTACATACCAAACAAGCCCGGGAAGTACGGCATCAAAGTGTGGTGGTGTTGCGATGCCGGGACAGCCTATCCTCTCATGGGAGAGGTCTACCTGGGCAAGCGGCCAGGGGCGCCCCGGGAAGCCCAGCTCGGCTTCAGCGTGGTGACCAGAGTGGTGGAGCCCTATTTCCACACAGGCAGGAATGTAGTAGGAAGCACCTTCTTCACGAGCATCGAACTGGCGGAAGAACTGATCAGCAAGGATTTGACGTACGTGGGCACACTGAAGCGGAATAAACCCTACATCCCGCCCGAGATGCAGCCGCATCCGTGCCGAAAACCGCTGTCCTCGCTGTTCGCTTTCGACGGCGACTATACCTTGGTGTCGTACGTTCCCAAGAAAGGGAAGGCGGTCCTGCTGCTTTCCTCAATGCATCATGCCACCAAGGTGCACGGGGAGTTCAAGAAGCCCGACATCCTGTCCCATTACAACGCCACCAAAAGCGGGGTCCATACCCTGGACCACCTCGTGCGGAACTACACCTGCAAGCGCAAGATCAACAGGTGGCCCATGGTGCTTTTTTTCAACATGCTGGATGTGGCTGCCCTGGCCAGCTACGTGCTTTGGGTGCACACGCACCCGCAGTGGGAGAACCGCGTGCCGCGCCAGAGGCGGCGCCTCTTCATCACAGCCCTCGGGAAGGAGCTGATCCGCCTGGAGGTGCAGCGGAGGATGGAAGACACGCCCAACCTCAGCGCGAGCATCCGGTCCGCCGCGCACGCCCTGGGCTGTGTGCAGCAGCCCGTGCCTCCGCCCGTGCAGCCCTCCGTGTCGAAGGGACGCTGTCACTTCTGTGCTCGAGCCGTGGATAAGAAAACCACCAGATGGTGCAGCAGCTGCGGGAAGTTCGTGTGTAAAGAGCACTGCATCACTAAGGTGAAGTGCTGTTTGTGTCAGTAGGCTGGCACAAGCCGTGGGTGCTCCTAGGAGATGGCCGCCTTTCCAGAGACGGTTCTGTGCATGGGGTGCTTAGACGACCCCCAAGGCGAATAACGGTAGGATTCAAAAATTACGTGTGTGTTTGTTCCCTAATTCATGCCAATTTGTGTTGGTGTCCGGCATCTTGGGTCGGGAAGCGGTGGCTGCGTTCACACATAACACTAAACCATGCCACATGGTTACTTCACGACTTGGCATCTCACCTTGTGTCCTGGGTCCAGACAGGCATGTGGGTTCCATACATGAGTGGTCTCCACCCTCCTCCATCTTTCCTCCCAAGGCAGCTGATATCCCATCAGCCTCCACAGCTCAAAATCAATCCCAGGGTGCCCTGCTCCTGCCTGTATCACCTGCCTCTCCCTCATCGGCCCTGCTCTCCCCTGGGCATGGCCTCACCCAGCTGCCCTTTGAGGGGAGGGAGGTTGCCTTGTTGCTCTAGAGTCGCACTGGAGTCGCACTGCGGCTGCTTTGCTCTGGGCCGATGTGCAAGCAGATCCTCCTGCACACCCGCCTCTCCCCTTCCTCGGCTGCACGTGGGCCCAAGCCCCCGCCCCGTGCGTTGGACCTGCACACTCTGGAAGGGCCGGCCTCCCCCCGCAGCCACACACCCACAGGGCCTCAGCGTAGGCTCCCGTGCCAGGAACGGAGGTGGCGCATCCTGCTAGGAAGTTTCCTGCATGCATGCAAATGGGCATCATTTGCCCTGGAAAGCGCTTTGCTTGGCAGCTGGGAATATGTTTCTGCTGCAGCCGAGGCGCAGGGGACTGCGGGACTCGCTGGCAGTCCTGAGGAGCGTCTGTTGCAAGCCGAGGTTCCTCCTCCGAGCAGCAAACGCCACAGTCTGTTTTCCTTGCAAAACCTTTCTTGCTGCCAAGCACAACTTGCCCAGAATATGGGAACTCTCCTTAGGAGCATGCCTGGTCTCCATCCTTGCAGGAGGAGCTTTCTGAAGGCGGGCACGTCTGCTCTCCACACGCCGCTCATTCACTTGGGCCTCCTGCCTCTGCTGACGGCTCGCCATGGGGCGGATGGGGGGTGGTCCTGAGAATGCCTCCTCCTCTGAGGGCCCTCCCACTGCCTGTACATCTTGGTCATTCCCAGAAACTGCCTGGCTTGGAGAAGCATCCGGCCTTGTCGTGACCACTGCTGCCTCCTCCATCTCAGAGCCTTGGCCTGGCCGTCCACCACAATCCCACTAATCTGGCTCACTTTCCAGTCCCAGATCATCTGGGATTGCAGCCAGCCATCCGTGGGAACTGTTCCCCAGGACCGCCGTTCTTCTTACTCCCAACCATCAGGGGCAAGGCAGGAGTGTGGCGGAAGGCAGGAGACAGTGGGCTTTCCGGAACGAATGCCCCGATGCCTGTGCGCTCCTCTTGCGGAGGCAGCTGCCACCGGAGGGGAGCGCTGGGCACAGGAGTAGACCACACTGGGGCAGTTTCCGGGACCTGCTTGAGCAACCTGCAGTGAGCAGACAGAAGTGCCAGGTGCAGCCGTCCCCGAGGCTGCTGCTGCTGCTGCTGCCATCAGGACCCCAAAGCAACAGGTGAAGGCAGGGCACGGAAGAAAGGAATACAGGGCAGCCAATCAGGCTGCAAGTCACCAGTTGCTAGGCAGACCTGGACAGCCGGAGCATCTCTTGCCGCTACTGCTACTCTTTGTGCAGGACTCTGTGGAAGAAACATGGAAACTGCACTGAAGCAGGTTTCTGGCTTCACATGCAAAACCAAGCCATGGGGAAACGCGGACACCTCAGTGCAGAGCATTGTTTCTCTGCGTGGTTTCAAGGGGACCACCCTTACCTCATTTCACCATGGTTGCTGGGTTCAGACGTAACGGTGAGCCACACCGCCCCAGTTTCCAGAGTCACCGTGTCTGAACGCAGCCAGTGTCTTTCTTGTTTCCAACTGAGTTGTTTAAAAAAGATGTCTGAAGATACAGAGAGTCCGCATGCAAAACCCAAGTCCAGGTGAGGACAGAGGCTGCCCTGTATGCAGAGACGGGGAGTGAATGTACATGCCGGACAAACATTGCCCTTTATAGGGTGGTGAGTTTTCTGCATTTGCATTTTTCTTAGTATTTCATTTGGAGGAAAACAAAATAAAGCCCAACAGTATGGTGGGATGTGCCATACCCCCAAATGTATCGTCATTCAGGCTGGGGCCTTAAAATACCTCAAATAGGTGGTAGTTGGGTGTTTCTGGATGCGTAAGGAGGGCTTAAGCCAGAAAGTCTGGGGAAGTTTATCCAGGATAGTAAAGGGTCCCCAGACCTGTTTTGTGCCTTACTGCCATCCAGATGCTCTGTGGGTACAAATAGGTTACTGTCTTTTTCTCTTCTAGTTCTAATGTGGTGCAGTGGTTAAGAGCGTGGGACTGGGACTCAGACGATCTGGGTTCTAGTCCCCGCTCAGCCATGGAGTCAACTGGTGACTTTGGGCCAGTCACAGACTCTCAGCCCAACCTACCTCAAAGGGTTGTTGTTGTGGGGATAAGATGGAGGAGGAGATGTAAGCTGCCTTGAGCCCTTTGTAGGAAAAAGGCAGGCTATAAATTGAAGAAAAAAAATGTCACTTGTTAAAAAATACTGCTAAAGACACAAGAGCAAGTCTGATGTTGACATCCAAACATGCTTGCACCAACAAAACATTTTGCTTCCTTGAGGTTTTCTACCCACGTCCTCCTTCATCTTTTGTGGAGTGCAGCTCACACTAAATAAGCGATTCAACCGAGAACCAGTTGACCCGTGCATTAGAATCCATCGGGATGCAGGTTCCCCTGGAACTCAGCCACACTTCCAGGCTGCAGATGGGTTGGACCAAGGGTTCCAATGTTGTGGCCCACAACTCCCATTATCCACGATGCCTGCAAGGGCTGATAATGAGTTATGGGCCAAAAGACCTAACAGGGGCCCAAGTTACTCACTGTACCAGAGGATACAGTATGTTTAAATATTGTATGTTTTTTAGCCTCATTGTATTTCTAATATAGGTTTTGTTTACTAAAAGAAATCGTCTTGTTATGAATGTTTATAGGTATGTTGTAAGACTGATCTTTTTTTCCTACAAGCTTGGTATGACTAGTGGATTTCTTGTTATAGGTATGTTGTAATGCTGATATTGTTTTGATACAACTTTAGTACGTTAGTAGATTTCTTTTTCCTGTTGATTAATCTGTAGGCTATACTAGTGATCGTTGGTTTGATATTGTTGTGTAGTTTTCTCTCAGCTGCTTTCAGCAGATAATAAATGTTGATTGAAAATGCAAAGAAATATTCTCCCAGTTCAAAACCACTGCAGTCCCAGCTCCAGATTTATCAAGCCTGTGGGCAAGACCCTCTGAAAAGGGTTTTATTATATTTATATCCCACCTTTTTTCCTTCTCTGTCTCAATTTCCTGCGGGGAGGAAGTGTCCCGGCCACTACCCAGGAAACCACCAGAAAGTGACACCAGCCCTAGAAAGGAGCCCGTGTCCATGTACTTTCTCAGGGAGGTGCCTGGAAAGACCCAAGAGCAGCCCCCTCCGCCTGCCTCCGGGGCCACAGCACAGAGGTCCTGATCCCCGCTAGGGCAAGATGGTCACACCAAGCACAAGGGACACACAGGACCTCTGGGCAGCCCCACTCCAAGCTTTTATAGCCCCCAGAAAAAATGGAGGCCTGCTATTGCCCAAGTGCACCAGTTCAACGCCAGTGGTGGCACCGTCCCTTCCTGAATTGCCTCATGACCACCCCGTCACCCGAGAGCAAGCCCAACACTGCATCCCCACCCTCAGCTCCTCCACTGGAAAGGTTTGGGGGACTTTTCTTCCCAAGGCCCATCAGCAGAGAGCTTCCCAACCTTAAAAGTGGTAGTTTTGCAGCCATGCAGTCTTGAGTTCGTGGGGAAATCGCTTTCGAAACAACACAACCAAGCACCTAAGTACAAAGAGTTTATTTGGGTGGGTAGAGGGTGACATAAGCAGGAAAAACCTGGGAAGGCAATAAACACACACATACACAGGATTCCAAATAAAAATCAAAGTCAGCCCAACTTAAGTAGTCACTTCAGCTACTTCAGTCAGGTCTTGAGCTTAGGCTGAGTCTCCTGCAGAGAGGCTGGTCCAGGACAGACAGTGCCCATACTGCTGCTAGTGGCTGGATGGAGTCCCTGAGGCAGTCGGTGAGAGCTTGGGGGGCCTCCGGGGGACGGTGGAGGGCAGGAAGGCCTGGAGGAGTGTTGTCCGTGGGGTCGCGATGGGTAGGGGGGCGACTTCGCGACTAGCAACAACAACAAAAGGGAGTTCTAGCAGGACTGAGCTTATTTTTATGGAGGTCTCAGCTCAGTAAAAGCCAGCCCCTTAGCAGAGACTGATGGCCATTCTGTCCAATAACAGGACAGCATCCATTTCTATTGTCAGCAAATCAAGAAATGTCTAGTAGTTGGGCCTGCCTTCTTAATGAAAGCAACTTCCATCTCCAGGGCCCAAGGTGGCTGCAACCAGCAATCCATCCAAGAAAGGGATATGGTTTTTGTGGTTTGGAGGGCATAGAAGAGGGATAAGGATAGATGCAACCATTCCTGTTGCGCAGTAAAATGCCCATTGAGACTAGACAGCACTAGAGGCAGGACTGTGCCACAGAACCAAACATCTGATATAGAAATATCATGCAGCCCTGCCAGGCCTGTACCACTTCAGAATGCAGATGTGCTCAAGAGCACTGACATTAAAAAAAAATAATCCATGCACATATTTATATCAAAATTCTACTGTGCTTTTCTTCATTCTAAAATAAACCCAAGACAGCTATCAAACTCCCTCTGCATTCATAAAATGTTGAGGGTGTTCAAGGAAAGATTGGACAACCACATGTTGGGGATTACATGAACAGAGCCGGGGGTCAGACTAGATGGCCCGGGAAGTCCTTTCTGACACACTTTGTTTCTAACATACAATGACATGCTAGTGAAAGAGCGTGGCCAGAAGGGGGTTTTATCCTGACCTTCTGACCCCTCAAATCCACCATCTGCTTACAACAGCAAAACAAGAACCTGGTGGAGCAAAGGCTGGTTGTAGTATTTATACTTCCACCCTCAGGCAAATTAAAAAAGGAAGTTTGGAGTGGAGCGGTGATGGAGTGGAAAACATCTGTCAGAGCCATCCACCCTGTGGGGTGATGAAGGGATCCCCACAGAGAAGGTTCCTCCAGCCCAGAGCAAACGGGCTTCTGCATTCACCCAAGGTGTTTTTGAAAATACCTTTGTTTCATTCAAGGCCTTTACAATTAACTAGGAATGACTCACAAAATAGTTTGCGAGAGCATCCCTCACCAGGCTTCCCTCCTGAGCATCTTCTGGGGATGTGGGGAATTCCAAGTGTCCCTCGGGGGTCTGGTCCCACACACCCTCCTGGGACCAAGGTCCGTCAACCAAAGCATGTCCCCGATTCTCACATATGTTGTGAAGCACAACAGAGCCAATCACTACGGGGATAATGTTCTCTTCGGCAACCTCCAAGCGGGTGGCGAGGCACCTCCACCGTCCCTTCAACCGCCCAAAGGCCTCTTCGGCCACCTTCTTGCAGTCACTCAGGCGGGAGTTGAAACATTCCTTCTGAGGGCTGAGGTTCTCAGTATAGGGTTTCATGAGCCACTTCTTTAAGGGATAGGACCCATCACCCAAGATCAGTGGGGGAATCTCTACACCACCGAGGGTCATCATAGGATTCCCGGGCACAAACAACCCTTGGTCCATCGCCTCACACAGGGCCAAGTTTCTGAAGAAGGACGTATCCTTGTCTTTACCACACCAGCTAAGTTCAATGTCAACAAAGCGTCCCTTGTGGTCCACCGTGCCTTGCATGGACATCGGGAAAAATCCTTTCTGGCTGACGCTGGTTCCCTTTCGAACTGTGCAGATGATGGGTATGTGGGTCCTGTCTATGACCCCCACGCAGCTAGGAAAGCCCATTTTTGCAAATCCGGCCATGACCTTCAAACGGCAAAAGTATGAAATTAGACCATGTCCTAAGTGGACATCATTCTCTACATAAGTGATTGTTTTTAAACCATGTTCTTAAGAACTCTAGCTTTCCTTCGAAAGCCTGTAAGGAGCGAAAGGACAGCCTAAATGCCATATTAACTCTTCCTGGGTCTGTTGATTTGCTGCTTCCCAACTTCACTGACTCCATGCAGCCACAGTTCAGACTGAGACCACCTGGAGATGAAGGGAAATGCAAAAACAGCAATACCTACCCAGTATATTTCTATACTGCCCTTAGCCAAAGCTCTCTGGGAGATTCACAACATTTAAGTCACCCAGCCAACCCTACTCAGCTTCCAAGGAATCAGGATCTGGCACTTTTACCCATCACTGCTTTTATGCATTATTTTATTTGAATCGTTGTTCATAGTAAACTGAAAAGCTCTCACTGAGGTGGTTCTCTCGAGTGTAGACCACACGTGTGCGCGCATGTTACACAACTGAATATGCCTCCAACACAAAAGACTCCTAGTGAAGTAGCATCTCGGGGAAATGAAGGCCCAGATTCCCCCGAGAAGATCGCTTTCTACAAGCAGGGATTAATTTTTTTAATGAAGGACGATCACGTCAGCCCCCACTCGCAGTCCAAAGGCATAACTCTCCCACCTCCTTATTTCCCACTGCCTTCCCTCACGCCCATCTGCAACGGTTTCCTTGCCATGTGGGAAAGATGGGCTGCTGACACCTGCCAGGAAAAGCAATAGGTTTCCTGCATCAAGAATGAGCAGAAGGCAGATCACCGGGGGGGGGGGGGGGCTCTCACCCCTTCTTTAAAAATTCTCACAGATTACGCGTAGCGGTGCCAGGCAAGCCTTTCCAGCACAGCTGGAATAAACCCTTTCGCGCAAAGGGCTTTTGGGGCTGCATTCAGAGCTACGCTCAGAGAAAGTGTTTGCTCGTAGGGGATAAGGCAATGATCATCCGCTAAGTCCTGATGAAGACCTCCACGGAGGGAGGTGAAAAGAAAAGCATGGCAGTGCCACCAGCCCTATTAAGGGCACAAGCCGCCAGACTCCACGCAACCACAGGGCAGGTTAGCATCCCAGTGCCGCCCTCAGAAATGCACTCCAAGTCGAGAGCTGGGATTCAGACCACGGAGTGCCGTCTCTCACAACCAGTGCGGTTCTTTCAATGCGGGTTGCTGCTCTGAACTTGCAAGTGCGACTTTGGGAGCCCAGGGGGTGGGGTAGGCAAGGGGAGATGGAGGGATCCCGGCAGTCCCTCAGCCAAGCAGGGTCAAAAGATGTGGACAGCTGAAATCAGCTATTTATATCTTTTATAGGGCAGTGAACGTGCTAAAGCAACGTTGTCACTTTGCTCCCCTCAACAGGATGCCTGTGATTCTTTTGAATGCAAAGGGTTAAAGGCAACCACATTGCATGGCACCTTAACATACAGTATCTTTCCGTGTATAAGATGATACTTTTTCTTTAAAATATTTACTTCGAAATGGAGGGGCATTTTATACACGGGGGCAGAGAGGAGAATTGTGGCCAGCTGGGGGGCGGGGGAGACTGGCGCAATCGTGAGTGTGCTGGAGGGGGCGCAGCAAGCGCGGCAACAGCTTGCGCTCTTGGAGATGGGTAAGAAAAGTGGGGGGCATCCTATATATGGGGACATCTTATAGACGGAAAAATACGGTATATTAAGAAAGAAACCCCTCTGCTCTCCCCATTCCTCCTTCCTTGTGTGTCGTGTCCTTTCAGACTGCAAGGGTTATCTTGTTCAACTGCTCATACACAAACCACCGCGGGAGTGTATCAGGCTGAAGAGCTGGCATAACAATCCTCCAAATAAATATTAACGCATTAACCACGGGGAAAATGGCCTGAGACCACCACCAACACCAGTACCTTGTCGGGGTTTTCGAGGGCCACCACTTTCTTGAAGAGAAGCTTCTCAATGGCCAGGCACACCTCGATGAAGACCTCTCCGACGGTGGACCGGCCGACCCCAAAGTGGGTGGCCACGGACCGGTAGCATTCCGTGGTCGCCAGCTTCCAGAGGGCGATGCCCACCCGCTTCTCGACGCTCAGCGGTGCCCGCATGGAGGTGGTCTGCCGCTGCAGCTCCGGCCGCAGCTCCTCACACAGCTCCAGGAAGGTGTCCTTGGTCATGCGGAAGTTCTGCAGCCACTGGCTGGGCTCCCAGGTTTCCAGCACGACCCTCTCCCACCAGTCCCGGCTGATCTGTCGGGACCAGAAGCGATGGGGCCCGGCGTTGAGCTCTTCCACCATCAGCCTGGTTTCACTGTCGGGGCAAATATCGGGGAGGAGCTGGTGCAGTAAGGAGATGTGATTCGCCATAACACGGCGCATGGTGCGCCGGGCACGGGCAGCGAGGCCCCCGCGGTGCAGGTGGAGGCGGACCAGGTTGTGGGTTGCCAGGATCACAAGAACGATGGCCTCAAGGTTCTCCATCGTGGGCAGCAGTGCAAGGAAATCCCTACGGGATAGTTGTTGTGTGTGTGTTTATTACAGATAATGCAGCACATATATTTCACATTAGATAATATTAATAATGCCTATTAAATATTATTTAGTAGAAGTAATAGCAAATGTCTTATAATAGAAGTTTTAAAATTTACCTATTTTAAATACGCTTTTAAAAGGAAGATAAAGTGGGGAAAAGCTATGGCTCACCCTCAAATCTTTAGGCACCTTTCACAGTGCTGGTGAACGAAACCCACACAGATACCGGGTTTTACAAACAGGGAAGGCGCTCGCCCGCGAAGGGGTTCGTCTCCTGCTTCCTCGGTTCCTATGCCTGCTTCCAGCGGCCTCCGCTCCGCGCCGAGCGTTACCAGGCGCCCGTCCCGAGAAGGCGGCGGAGATCCGGCGGCCTCGCCGCACGGAGCCGCCCAGGCTTCTGCAAGGCGCCGCGGGGCCCTCGGAGGCGGCGCGCTCGCAGCGGCTCGCGAGCATCCGGCCGTTGCAAATGGCTCCTTCTGCACCGACGCGCCCTTCTCCTCCCCGGTGAAGCGCTTCTGAAAAGCAGAAGAGAAGCGCGTCGCTACCGTGCCTGGCCCAGTCGGGCCCGGGAGCGTGAGGGTTAAAGAGAGCCGCTCCCGCGAAGGTGCTTCTCATTTCAGGTGGGCGAGGCGGGATATGAATTGCGGGATCCGTGACGCCCTTCCTGCGGGTTCTCTTAACTTTGAGGGACGGAGGCGGCTCTTGCAAGCCTGCCTGTTGGCAGTGAATAAGCAATTGCGGGGATCCCATCCCCTGCTGCCTGGGATGATGGGAATTGCAGTGCAACGCCGGGAAGACGCCGGAGCGGGGAGGGTGCGCTGTGCAGTTAGCCGAGTGCCGTTGAGCAACTGACTTAGATCAGCCTTCCCCAGGCTGACATTGGCCGGGTGAGCTGGACTACAACTTTCCCCACCTCCCGCTAGCAGGGGATGGGAGCTCTGGAACCCAGATGTAGATGTAGGCAGCCTTTACAGCCAAAAAGAAGGTTTGCAACTTCTTGCTGGCTGGGGACGATGGGAGTTGTGGCCCCACACTCCTCGAGGGTACTACACTGACGGAACTGCGGAAAGCTAGCTGTGGGAAAGGTTAAAACCACCGAGTTCCGTTCTGATTCCTTGAGTGGCCAGTATTTGTGACCTAGAGGAAGGCACACTCTGACCACCAAAGGGCTGCAGTTCTCATGGTTTCCTTACAACACTTCGCGTTCCCAATTAAAGCTAATAAAAGCGCTAATACATGATGGAGGCTTGGTAAGTCTCAGATGGGAATTTATTTCAGAGATGTGGAGTCACTGCAGAGAAAGTTCCTCTCATATGTGGTCAGCCACTTAAATGCTCTCACAGGTGGGCAAAGAAAAGAGCCTCACTTGCTGATCTTAAAGTGGGCAGGCTGCAATGAGTAAAGATGGTCCTTGCAATGGTAAAAGGCTTTGGATCACTGGGAGGAAAGATCCTGGTCTTTTAAAGGGTGTATGACAGACAGGAATCAACTATGGAGATCTACTGTGAAGAGAGACAGACTTCCCCAGGATTAATTTTTGAACTGGCACTTACCCCAGCTGAACCTCAATACAGCAACTTTTCCCAACTGGCTTTCAACTCTCAGCATTCCTGACAATTTGCTATGCTCACTGAGGTTGATAGGAATTGAAATCCAAAATGTCTGACAATGGGGGAAAACTGCCATTCGTAATGTCAGGGCATATCCCAGCAAAACCTCTGCTGCGGGGCAGGCAAGCATCCTTCCACAAAAACCTCAAGGGAAGCGTTTGCTCGGGAGGAAGCCCTGATGAACTTGGTGGGACTTAATCCCTGAGTTTTCCACTACCTGATGTCCTCTGGTTGAAGAAGAGGACTTGCCAGTGTGCAACAAGACTTTGGGGCGATTTGGGGAGCAGAAGGCGAGCTCGTGTAAAAGTACTGCAACAAAGCGGAGCCTGTTGAGGTCCCACGTGCACCCATCATCCCTGAGCCGCAAAGATCTCTCCCCGGACCCGGAAGTAAAGGTCTTGCCTTGCATGATCTCTCTCTGCTGCAAATAGACTAGAGACTCCACTTTCCATCTTTACAACTAGCCCTTGCCGGGAAAACTTCAGCTTCTTCAGTTCCCGGGAAAAGAGAACCTGCAAAGATCAGATTCTCAGCCAGCAGAGGGAGTGGGACGGTGCCAAGCTTTACAGAGGGAGATGAGTTAAAGTGGACTAATTAACATGTCATAATACAGGGAGCGATCAGCTGAAAATTTGGGGAAATGGGGTGCGGGAGAGGCCCCCTCCCTGGGCGTACGTCAGTCCTTTCTAACCTTTAAGATGCATGCAGGAGCTCTGCCGTTTTTATCCTGTATGTGGCTACTCAGAAATCAGCCCAAACTGAGTGCATCGAGCGAGCGACCCTCCGCCGCTGCCCGGCTCCCTAGCACTGGTTGGAGGCCGCTGGGAGTTGTAGTTTGGCATATCTAGAGAGCACCAGGTGGGGGACACGAGACACTCTTATCTAGGAATCACCCCGGTTCTGTGCAGAGGATCGCGCCGTTAAGCCGTGAGAGAGGATGGCTGGTGATGGGAAAAGAGCAGCGTTTGGGGGCGCCCAGCAATGTCTTTCTCCCAAACTTTACAACAGTTCTGAGGGACAATCCTGGTGCCTTCCCGTTCCTTTGGATTCAAGCTCCCACCAGGCTCAGCCAGTATGGCCAATGGCGTGGGATTATGGGAACTGTAGTTTATCATTACTGCTAGCAATAACTTTCCAGCTCGTGAAGTTTCTCTTTGTCCCCTTCCTGCAAATCATGTGGGTTTCCTGCACGAATCTGCTTGGCCAACGTATGAACAGGTTTCCTGTCTGGCCCAGCTGGGCTCTTCTTCCATTCTTATGAGCACACAGGTCGCTGCTTGGGACATGCCGTGGCAAGAGGGGGACTTCAGTGCCGAGGGAAGCGTCCCGGGTTCTCCTGTGGTTCTTCCAGCTGCAGAAACGCAGGGCCCTGTGCAGGTTCTGATGGGGGGGGGGCAAGGAAGGGGAGGGCCCTCCTGAGCCCACACAACATCTCCCTGCCAGTCTGCCTACCACTGGGAGGAGGCCAGGTGGAGCCCCCCGGTGGGGGGAGGGCCTGCTCTGCAGGAATCACATCAGCCCTGGAAAGGTGGTTGGGCACCTCACCAACTCGGGCATGATGCACCACCTGCGGAAGCAGCACAAGCTGGTGCTGCTGCAAGGGAAGGGGGGCAGAGCGAGGCCGGGTGCCCTGCCCTCCCTGTCAGCTCTGGGGAGCAAAGCGAAAGGCAAGCGCGGCAGGAAGGAGAAAGAAAGCCAGAAGGCCCCGTCTCGACGCAGCTGCCTGCCCCCGGCCTCTGAGTTGCAGCGTAGACGATTCTGGCAAGGCACACAGCCCTTGCCAGTGCCAGGTTGCCAGGGATGGGTGGAAGGCAATGGTGCCATCAGGGTCAGACTTTGGGGCAAAGGCCCAGGCACCCGTTCAGCAGAAGGAACAGGAGGGCCCCCAGATCGCAGGTCTGGCTGGCTGCAAGTTGAAAAAACAAAGTTGTGGACCTCTACCGTCTGGTGCCCACTCTGAGGAAAACCGCAAGGCCAGAGTTTGAAAGCAGCTGCTGGAACACTGCTTGAAGGCGTAGCTGGCCAGAGCAGAGAGTCCCGCTGGGCCCTTTGCCACAGAGCAGCCAGAGCGAATTGCATCTCCTTCTGCACTCACAGATGGACAGCCTTGGGGAGGCAGCAGCAGCAGCCTCCAGAACGGGTCTTGCCGCTGATGGGAGCCCTGCAGGATTGGAGCATTGGCCACAGGGTGGGGCGGGTGCAAATAAACAGTCATCTGGGGTTCCCTGGGGGCAGCCCCAGGAAAGAGCAGCAGTGGGTTGCTGCGGCATTGGGGTGCCCTAGGCCAGGGGCAGGCAAGCCAGGGCCTTCCCGATGGCCTCCCTTCCGAAGTGTTTCCAGTGATGCTGCAAGGATTTGGGGACCTCGGGAACTGATGCCTTGTGTTGCTTTTCCTCACTTCTCTCCCCAGTCCTTTTGCTGTTTGGTGATGGTGACTGCAGCCAAGAAATTAAAAGACACTTGCTCCCGGGGAGGAAAGCTATGGCAAATCTAGACACCATACAAAAAAGCAGAGACATCACCCTGCCGACAAAAGTGCGTATAGTCAAGGCTATGGTTTTCCCAGTTGCAATGTATGGCTGTGAAAGTTGGACCATAAGGAAGGCTGAGCACCTAAGGATTGAGGCCTTTGAATTGTGGTGCTGGAGGAGACTCCTCCGAGTCCCTTGGACTGCAAGGCGATCAAACCGGTCAGTCCTAGAGGAGATCAACCCTGACTGCTCTTTAGAAGGACAGATAGTGAAGATGAAACTCAAATACTTTGGCCACCTAATGAGAAGGAAAGACTCCCTGGAGAAGAGCCTAATGCTGGGAACAACTGATGGCAAAAGGAGAAGGGGACGGCAGAGGATGAGGTGGCTGGATGGAGTCACTGGGGCAGTTGGTGTGAGCTTAGGGGAACTCCAGGGGATGGTGGAGGACAGGAGAGCCTGGAGGAGAGTTGTCCATGGGGTCACGATGGGTCAGATGCAACTTCGCAACTAACAACATGGTTTTTAGCTTGTAGGCTTGAGGACATGCACTTATTGGTTTTTGTTAGCCGCTCTGGGTGCCTTCTGGGCCAAAGAGTGATATAAAATGCTATAGAAAAGTAATTCCTGCTGTCTTGCATGGGTTGTCCTGGACTTTGCTGCAAGGGAAAAAACTTTGCAGTAGTTTTCTAGGATGCTCGTTCTGTAATTTAACAAAACAACACATAAAGCAATTCTTTCAATAGTATTTATTTAGAAATACTTGTCGGCAGTCTTTCAATACCAAACTTCTACCAAGGTGGGGTACAAGAAGGCACAAAATTATACAGGACAGTTCCAATACCAGAATATAGTACATAATATTTTGCTAATTTCTGTTCCCTTATGCAGGACGTGCTCCAACGGAGCAAAGCTCAGGGAACCAAGGTTCAATTTGGATGCCAGGAAGCACTTCCTGCCAGTTAGGACCCCGAGGGTGTGGAATGGGCTTCCACGAGAGGTCGTTGAGGCCCCATCGGTTGGGGTGTTCAAGGATAGGCTGGGCGTGCACATGGTGGGCATGTTGTGAGCAGAGCCGGCTGGTGCCGGGGGTCAGACTAGATGGCTCAGGAGGCCCCTTCTGACTCGCTCAGTTTCTGTGTTTCTACGTACTTTCTACGTACTATGTACTACGTACTTTTATCAACATGCACAGAACAACCAAGATCTTTTCTGTTTTAGAGCTATATTTTACTTCATTTGAATTGCTTGACAGGGCCGAGCTCTCACAAATGAAATAACAGTACATTACACGGGTTGTGTAAATGCACAGTAGGCTCAGCAAAATAAATGCATGAGAAAACTGCTTTAGATGTCATGGTGATCATTTCTATTAAGGAACTGTGCTAGTAAAAAGATACATTTGGAAGGCCCTCCATGGGGGCCAAGTGAATGTCAGTTGCAAGGGTGTTCCATAAATGTGGGGCCAACACCAAAAAGGCCCTGTCTCATGCGCTCACCAACCTAACCAATCCAAAGAGGCTGCCTATTATGAGTATCCTGTGGCAGAGGAAAGAAGCCACCGCATTTCTCCCACCGTGCAAAGATGTAGATGGCGGACTTGGGACGCTGAAGCATTTTGCCTCAGATTACAAGGGCAGGAGACAGAGTTGCTGCCAGGATCCTGTAGAACCTTTCTCCGTCCTTCTCCCCATCCCAGAGTCGCCACCTCCAAAGTCACTCTTAAAACCTCAGAGTTGCATTTGGTGTGGTCTGCCCTCCCCCCCCCCATCAACTGCAAGGGCGCTCCCAGGTCAGCATCTCAGCCGTCACCCTGGAACAGGTTTCCAAGCTCAGAGATAGGCATCCAAAAAGTCCTATAGCTGTTCAGACTCCATTTAGTGGCCACATGACTGTGCTGCCCACTGGTGGATACACAAGCAGGAAGGCAGGGCAGGAGTTACCTGGTTCCAGACTGCCCAGGCCTTAAAAGTTAATAGAAATCACTTGAAAGTACATTTATTTATTATTTATTTAAAACTTTTCTAGACCATCCTTTGGTCTCAGGACGGCTTAACAATAAGACAATACAAAATAAAACACAACGTGCTAATGAAATTTCCAACTAGCAATAAAACCCCAATTAAAACAATCAAATCTTAAAACATTGGGAAAATAAAAAGATTTTAGTCTGGCACTGAAAAGAACACATTTCGTGACAGCACTAGGCAAATCTCTCTGGGGAGCACAATTGCGGTGCCACTGCAGAGAAGGCCCTTCTCTGCTGCATCACTGTTACTCAGTATGGAAAGTAGTTTGCAGAACAGGTTTATACCAAAACAGGTGCTGTGATCAGATCTTCAGATGGTTGTTTGTGTTACTTCAGTTGTAAGGCACATGGTCAACAATTCTCTCCTTCCAGCTGCTTCTGCATTCCTGACATGTTAGAACAGAAACAAAACAGTTTGCCATCATCTTTTTTAACCCAAACCAAAACAAACCACGAACATGTGCAGTTTTGCATTTTAAACTCACTCCTGCAGCCCTGATTCCCCCATCCTCTGTCACTTTCTGGTCCTCACTGGGGCTGCACTACGGGGCCCTGGTCCCAAAGGTCAAGCCTTCCTGCACCGCTGTTTGCAATTGACCGGCTTTGCATAGCCATTATTGTTAAACAGGACCTGCAGCTCCAGGCGCAGATTAGATTCCGAGGAAAGGAACAGGTAGCTTTGAAATCAACTGCCCCCCAGGCCCCAAGGCTTCGGTGCTTCTCTCCCGCCCCCGCTTGCAATTTCCAGTCTTTCCGTCACCCCGGGACTGAGTCTCTGCCCCAGAGCACACGCCCCTTCAAGGCCTCGCCTCTCCCGGCGGGCTGGAGACTGCGCCGCCCCCTCGGCCGCGGCGGGGGAGCAGCCGCTCCGCCCCGCAAATCTCGGCAAAGCTGCGGAGGAAATTCATAAGTCCGATTCCCACCAGGCGGGGAAGGGGAGGGACAGGACACCGGAAGTGGCTTCAGGGGCGCCCCGCGCATCATTTCCGGTGACCGAGTAGCGCCCATACAGAGGCAAGAGTCCTCCCAGTTTGTGGTTGTTCCTTTCTAGGACTGAAGAGCTGACCTTTGTGCGTTTAACCCGTTGGGGGGAAGGGGAGAGCGAGCGAGCGAGCTGTACTTGGTTTATCGCATGTGCATTTCTGTCTGGTAGTATTGGACACTGATTCAACACCCTTAATTAATTAATTAATTAATTATGTTTGTATGCCGTCCTTTGGCAGAGCCTCAGGACGGCTTACACAAATGAAATACAAATATCTAACATAACATAAATTAACGACCAACTCTGGCTGCAATTAAGATATGATAAAATTCAATATTAAAACTTATTAAACTATTAATTAAATAAAAAGGTTTTAACATGGCGCCGATAAACATATGACGACGGTGCCAGGTGGACCTCTCCGGGGAGCGCATTCCACAGACGGAATAGAGCACATTCCATTAATTTGATATTCTCCAGACTCGAATTAATTCTTGACAGTAGTTACCTAAACTCCATTGTGGACCCACTTGAGTCTTTGCATGTTTTATGTTAAATACAAACCCTATTCTTGTTTAGACCTTCAAAGTCTTCATTTTTTATCTCAAGTCATTTTTTGAGGTAACATAATACAAGACCTTACATGGCTTTGAGAGAAGTGGAACCAGCCTTTTTTTTGTGTAAGTTTTATTCTTAATAAACCTAACAAGAAAAAGAAACTAAAAAAAAATCAATCATCAAAAACATCAGACCTATTGGGTCAGCCCCCCCCCCCCATTTTCTTCTTTTTATGTTAAACAATAAACATATTTAAATCTATGCATAGTCCCCTTTCTCTAGCCAATGATAAAAAGAGTCCCAGGTTTGATAGAAGTCTGTATCTTCTTTCTCCTTCAGAGACAAAGTCAATCTGTCCATTTCAGCACAGTCCAAGATTTTTTTAGAATCAGTTCATCAGTAGGTGGCTCTTCACTCTTCCAGTGTTGGGCAAATGCAATCCTCGCCGCAGTAGTTACATGTAGAGTCAAACACATTGCTTGTTGACCAACATCATCAGGTACAATGCCTAATAAAAAAACTTATGGTTTAAATGTTAGAGGTTTTTGTAACATCTCCTCAAGCCATTTGTGTATTTTAATTCAATACTTTTTTGCCTTACCACATGTCCACCACAAATGATAAAAAAGTACCTGATTTGTGTTTACATTTCCAACATCCATTTGACATGTTTAGAAACATCTTAGCTAACCTATTTGGCGACAGATACCATCTATAAAACATTTTATACAGGTTTTCTTTGTATGAAGTTGCTAATGTTACTTTAATATTTCTTTCCCACAGCTTTTGCCATTTCTCTAACTCAATATTATATCCCAAATTTTGTGCCCACGTTATCATAGTTTCCTTAACCTGTTTGTCTTCCATTCTCCTATCCAGTAAGAAATTATACAATCTTTTAATCATTTTCTCATCTGATTTAAGAATCACATGGTCAAATGCTGTTAACTCCTTATAAAAGCCCCACATTCTACAGCCTTTAGTATATCTCAATTGCATTTGAACCTTGTGCCACCAAGAAATATTAATTCCTTGTTCTTGTATTACTTGATTCAATTTCAATCCTCCATCATTATCCAAAATATCATCATATCTCACAATCGTATCAAAATTCAATGCATTTGGATATACAAGAGCTTCCATAGGTGAAAGCCACCTTGGTAATTTAGTATACAATTTTATCTTCAACTTTTCCCACACCGACATGATTTCCTAATATAATGATTTAAGAAACAACCATGTACCTTACACTTTTCATACCACATATAAACATGCCAACCCATTTGCAAATCATGCCCTTCAGGATACAAGACACTTTTATTTCTTAAAGTTATCCATTCTTTTAGCCACGTTAAAACAGAAGCTTGATAATACAACATCCAGTCAGGAAGACCAAAACCCCCATTCCCTTTAGCCTCCTGAAGCATTTTTAATTTAATCCTTGGTTTCTTCTTTTTCCATATAAATCTCGAATTTGGGTATTTAAATCGACAAAGAATTTTTATCAATTTTTATGGGAATCATTTGAAATAAAAACAAACTCTTTGGTAATATATTCATTTTGACTAGAGCTAGTCTTTCCAGCAAGGATAATTGCAAATTAGTCCATTTTTCCAAGTCACTCATAATTTCCTTAAATAGTTTATCATAATTATCTTCTTTCAATGTAGTACACTTAGCTGTAAGGAAAATTCCCAAGTACTTAACCTTTTTAACAATTTGAAGATCTACTTGTTCCACCAGAATTTTTCTCTGCTGCAATGTAAGACTTTACTAACAATCTCGTCTTATCTCTGTTTATTTTCATCCCAGTAACATCGCCATATTCTTCAACCCTTTGTATAAGTTTAGACATTGTTAGCAAGGGTTCCTCAATTATAAAAACCAAGTCGTCTGCAACTTACAGCTTTCATCTCTAATTCTAGTGCCTTTAATATACATATCATCTGATATTTCTATTTAACACTTCTAAGATAAGTATACGCAGCAGTGGTGATAAAGGACATCCTTGTCTTGTGCCCTTTTGTATGTCTACAGTATTTGTAAATTCTCCTTTAATTATAATCCTAGCAGACTGTTTTTGATAGATGCTTAATATCGCATTAATAAATTTTTCACCATGTTGCTTCATAAATTGCCAATTGACATTGTCAAAGGCCTTCTGTGTGCCCATGAATAATAATGCCATTGATTTTTCAGAATGTACCTCATAATACTCTAAAATGTCCAAGATGATTCTCATGTTATTCCTCATTTGTCTTTTAGGTAAAAAGCCATTTTGGTCTGGATGTATGAAGTCTGTTAAATACTTCTTTAGTCTTTCTGCCATTACAGAGGCAAAAGTTTTGTAATCCACATTTCATAGTGATCTAGGTCTATAGTTCTGGATCTGTGTCAAGTCCGTGTCTTCTTTCGGTATTAATGTAATATCTGCCTCTGTCCAGGTATTTGGTATTTTAGCATCTGGCAATGCTGCGTTACATATACCCTTAAAAGGCATTGACAGGATTCCTTCAAAGGTTTTGTAGAACTCTGCTGTGGAACCAGCCATTTTTCAGGAGCATTCCCAACAGTTCCAACCACGTTCAAGTCAGACATATTTTACAAAAGAAACACCTTCTGTCTCCCAGGGGAAAAGAACGAACAGACCCCCTTCCTTCACATGGCTGCAGGAATGTAACCTCCACGGGAGCTGTGCACAGGCGTGGCCTCACCTGACAAAAAGGTGGAACTTGTCCACTTCTTCGTATTAACCTACGGGCTCGTCCAACTAGTGCCACTGAGTCCATTTGCTAGTCTGCCTCATGAAGACTGTCTCCTGTTATCCCTGACTGGGTTTGCTGATGGTGACTATCTGTTCCCTGTTGGTTTCTAGAACCATCTTTTGCTTCCTGGTCTGGGAACGTTTTTATTGTGGCCCCTTCTAGTAACGTGTCACTGTCGTCCGTTTGCTCCAGTTTTGTGACCTGAAAAGTCTTCTCCTCGTCCTCCTTCACTCTTCCATCACCTGCTGGAACAAATGGAGAATTGCATGAATTATCTCATGGGTATCAATGAGGAATTTTTTCGCGACTTGGAACCTTGCAACAAAACCTCGTAATGCGGGGTGCTTCCATTCAGGGTTCCAGTCTCTCCACTCGACCCTCTCCCTATTTTTCTGCCCCCCGGCATCCCCAGCCAGCCAGCCTTCCACGCTCACCAAGCCCACTTGGTCTGTTTTGCTTTCTCATCATCCATGGAGGGGGTTTGGATCCTGCCCTCTCCCACAATGCACTGCACTTGTTAATTTCTCCACAGATCGGTGGTGCTTTCTGTCATTTCTGTCATTCCAAGGGAATTTTAGAGTAGCTTCTCAGCATGAGCTAGGAAATGACAAACCTAGATAATGATCCTCTTTCCCTTTCTAAAAATCTGTGTCTTTGCTCCCTTTTCCCTCTCTAGCCATTGCGTTTCACTTCTCTTCACACCAGTTGCCACTTCTGTCCTCTCTCTCAGCATTCTGCACCACTGAGCTGTTCAATGAGCTCTTTGTGTGAGGGCTTGTCCACCCAGGAGTTGTTTCCCTCAAGATTTTTTAAAGCAAAACCAGCAGCTCCCTCTCTCACGTACGGATGGATGGTGCATTTGGGCCCCAACACCGTGTGTTTGGTTTCAAGAGGAACATGTTCTTCATAATCTGCCTCACAGTCACGTATTGGACTGGTTTGAACTGAGTACATTTTGTAGCGAGGTTTTATAAATAAGGTATAAATTCTCTCTAAGATTAGGTTCTACTTATTCCAAAATATACTTGCAGTACAAGTGTGAAGTGAGCAGACTAAATGAATGATTTCATAGCATGTGATTAGTGTTTATGGCGCCAGGTAAAGACCCTTTTATTTAAACATCATTTTAATTGTTAAAATATATGATCTGGCCAGGGCAACTTCTTCTCCCTTCTCTTTCCTCCTCCTATATTTTTTATTTACTTATTTTATACTGTTAATTTTAATTTTATATGATTGTATCTCAGTGTATTTTTTGTATTTTTGTATTTATTGGTAATTTATTATATTCTATTGTATTTCAATGTATCTTATTGTGTTGTATGCCGCCCCTTGCCGAAGCCTCGGGGCGGCTTACAACAC